TCCAGGATAGTGTAGTTGATGGAGCAAAGGGCATGTCGAATCGACTCGGGCACGGTGTTGTTGGCAATGTGGTGAAAGATCTTGTTCAAGGCAACCTGAGGACCTCCAGTGGCGGTGGTGGGGCCCTGAGGCGCGTCTCCATCAGAAGGAGCAGTCGGGTCGCTGGTAGAACCCTGGCGTGGGCCCAAGACTTGACTGAAGTGCTCCTTGATGCGGTAGATGGAGGCAAGAAGCTCACCAGACCAACCATAGGGGTCGGTGACACCCTTGGTGGCCGCCAACGCCTTGGGGAGCTCACCCTTGGTGAAGGACACGGTTGGGGAGCTCACAGCCGTGGCTGGTGCCAGTGTAGATGTGGAGGCGGGTGTCGAAGCAATGTACGGGGTCAGCCCGGGCGGTACCAAGAGGTCGCGCACGGCCTGAACCTCAGAATTACCAATCACGGCACGAGCCTTGTCGGCATCAAATGCTTTGGCAATCTGACCTCGGTTCAGACGGTTCGTGACGTGGTTTGCCCAGGCTTCGTCCGCCAGGTCCGGGTCGCGGACGAGCGACCTGAGGCTCTGGTCGACTGCGTCGTTCGGGTGGGCCCCCGCGCCGGCGTTCAGCTGTCCTCGACGGCTCTGCTTGCGTGCGACTGCCTTGCGCATGGCGTCCACGACCCGACCTAGTTGCCCCGTCACAAGCCAGCGGAGACGATCGTGAAACATATTGCGCAGGTCAATCGTAGACAGTGCGGTCGAGGGGGCAGACAACAACATGCTAGGCAAGGCCAAAATCAAAGCCCAGCACATCTCTCGCTCTTCAGCGGTATAGTCCGAGTGGACGGCAGACCAATACAGTTGGCTCAAGGTGGCAGCCATCAGCTTGGTCTCGGTGGCGTTGGATGGGTAGCGGCTGCGCTGCATCAGTGGATGCCGGGCGAGCTTGAGCAGCTCGCAGACACTGATGCGAGACCCTACACACTGTTGGGGCCAAGCGCCACGCATAATCTCAAGCAGGTCGTGTCCAGCCGCATGAAACAACGCCTCGGTCGCTCGCTTCAGATTGGCACCACATCGGGAGCGGTGTTGACTGATACCAGCAGCTTCGAAGAAGAGGTGACACTTGTTGCACTGGGCGACCAATTTGGCCTCCATCACCTGCTTGACCAGAACAGTGGCTTGCTCGTCGTAGGGGTGCTCGCGTAGTACATGATTGACCCAGCTTTGCGGTCAAGGCGGGGCCCCTTGCATTTGCAAAGCCCAAATGGGCAGGCGAGG